GATTAATTGTTGAACTTAATTAGCTACAGTGTAAAATATGCTGTGGTTGAAAATTATTGAAACACATACTGAATTTAGTGGGAGCATTTGCAGCAGTGAGGGTTGTAGTTACTTCGGCTTGTGCACTAGTTCTGAAGTGGAAAAAGAGGAGTTTCGTATACAGCTTTCACAAAACTTAAGGATGTGCTTAATTGCTTAGGTACAGACGATACCTCATTAGCTCTGTCTGCATTTAGATGGTAGAATCTAGGTTAGCTCTGCTCTGGAAGCAGTTCAGATATGTTTTCTGGAGAGCAGGAATCTGTCAGAACAGCCGAAATGTACTGCTGACTGCAGGACACCAGGAGGTCATTTGTGAAACACCTGCAAACAAACAAAACCCCAAAACACCACCAAACTAAAAAACCCCCACCCAAAAAAAACCCCACCCATACTTATGTGGAGGATAGGTATGTTTGTCAGGAAGCACTGTTAAGAACCAGCTTCTAATTTTTGTCAGCAGTCAATTAAAATGGGAGTATAATAAAGTTAAGGTTCTGTAAAGAAAGGGCACTGTTTATGTATCTGCAACCTATGCACTTGATGGTGGTACCCCACCTTCTATATAGCAGAATTCTAGACATTCCTCTTTTTTTTTTTTTTCCCCCCCTCTCTCTAAGCAAAGATTAGGTTAAATAATCTCAAAGATTATTTAGAGAAGGTTAGGAAATGTGATAGAATAGCTGATTACTAGCTGAATCCTTTCCATTTTGCTACCTTTTGAGCAGAGTGCATTTGTTTTGTAGAATTTTCAGTGTGCTTTGTTGAAGCCTCGTCTTCCTCTTCTATGATATGAGCTAGAAAGGAATTGAGTTAAAGGTATTGTTTCCAGAAAAAAATGAAGTATTTCAAATTACTGAATTGAAAGAACCTGGTTAAAAATAATGTGTTGTGGAACACAAGAAGTTAATTAAAATTGCATAGTGTAAATACAGACACAGGATAATGCTACAAATTTTAACATAAAAAAAGGGATCTTAATGCTCCACTACTTATAAATCTTTAATATGTTAAGACACACTAACGGTTGTTAGCGTGTTTAGTCTAAATCTTGGCCAAGCATCAGATGCTACGTTGGGAGGAAGCAGTCTTACTGCTACTGCAAGTAGTGACCTCAGCCTGAACACAAGTTCTGTGATTGATTCAGTTTCAAGGCAGAATATTTCTTTTACTGTCTAATCACTAAAATGATTTTAAAGTAATACTTCCAGTTCTACAAATGATAAATGGATAGTCTTAATTTTGTCAGCGTGTTTTTAGACAGACTAGATTCAGCCTTTAGCCTAACTCTCATATTCTGTCATTACCTAAATCAGTCCATTCTTTTTCCATGGTCAGTTCCCTACTACAGTTTTTGCTGGTGACCTGGTTCCTGCTTCCCTTTTCACAAAGACTGCTTTTTGACCTAGCTCATGCTAAATACTGTGATTTACAGATCGTTCTATAGAAATCTGTAAGCATTATTATGTACCCTCTGGTACTGTTGGGATGCTTTCCACTTGTTTGTTAGTTTAGGAGTAGTCTTTATCCTCTGTACAGATCCCAGCACAATAAAAGTTCTGACTTTGGGCTGCTGAGTTAAATGTTAAATAGTAGTAGCCTGTGAATTATAATTGCCTAAGCCACATTAGGTAAGCCATTTACTACTTTAATGCAGCTAAGTCAAAATATAAGTGAATATTAGCATCCATCATGCTGTATTTAAGATATTTAAAGGCAAACTCCATGCTTTTCAGACTGGATTTGAAATTGTGTCACTCCAAGTTCAAGTACTTCTATAGTAAATTGTGCTGCATCAGTGAACTATTATTTTAGTTCATTGCAGGTACCAAATTTCTCATACATGTAGCAAGCAGAATACTTAAAGTTAGCTTATTCAGATGTATTGAGTTCCTGGAAAAATTGAAAATAGTATTCTTATTAAGGCTCGGTGAAGACTTGGCTGGGTTTTAGTGCTACAGCATACCTTTGCTTGGCTGTACAAAGTTGCTAAATCAGTATTTTATTTTCTCTCTGTAAGCCCTGTAAAGCTATACATTCTAAGGATGTTGACGACATGTATGTTGGGCTTCTTCAGCGTTGTAAGCAAATGTACCTCACAGAAGCAGAAACAATAGATGACCATCTGTATCAGCTACCAAGTTTCCTCCAGTCCATTGCAAGTGTGATATTCCATATAGATACAGTAAGTGGAGTATTTAAAGTACCAGTCAGTTGGGTTTTTTTATGCAGCTATGAATGTATAAGGAGGCAGTAGCTGTGAACTTACCTATGGTAGAAGGTGTTTCTTTATCTGAAATAGAATGACGTTTAGTTCCATGGGGATGGGATGAATATCAGGAGAATACTTTATTAGATTTTATTTCAATAAAGAGAATGCACAGAATATACCAAATAAAATGCTACACTGCATTGTAATGAAAACCATGATAGCCAAATGTGAATAGGTTTTTATTTATTTTAGGTGAAGATATTTATTTGGACCTAGTCTTACCCTTCTCTTTCTGTGTTTATACCACCCTATTGCTGCTTTTTCTTTTGGTACTGATACTTAGCATGTTCTCTGAGGCAGATACTTTGATTTTCCTGTGATGCTATGCTGTCTGTGTTCTAATGAGGGCTTTCTGGATCCTAGCTAGAGCTGGGAAGTAAGGTTGGGACAGAGAAGAAAGCTTTCATTTACATTCAGTATTCAGATTGTTAAGGATGAACAGATTATATTGCTGTGTTGTTATTGTTTAATTAAATTAGTTCTTTTCTAATAAGCTTAAGACTCGTTCCACCAAAGCACTAATCTATTGAGGAGCTACTTTGCATAATGTGTTCCAGGAAACTTTCTTACTCTGTTTCTTTTGTTTGTTTTTTGGTTTTTATATCTGAGTCCATTTGCTAAGTCTTTTATTGTTCTCAGAGCAGGTCATGATGTAAAGTCTTGTAACGAACTGTCTGGCTGAAATAATTTAGCATAGTTCTTCACATTGATACTGAGTTAATAATTATGTCTTTGCATGATGGGCGTTCTGTGTTTATTTCTTCTAGATTCCTGAAGTATACACTCCAGTTCTTGAACATCTAGTTGTGCTGCAGATCAATAGCTTTCCACAATACAGTGAAAAAATGCAGTTAGTCTGTTGCAGATCTGTAATAAAGGTATTTCTGGCCCTCTCAGGAAAAGGTCCAGTTTTCTGGAATTTTATTAGCACTGTGGGTGAGTCCGTGATACTAAGTTTGTTGTGGTTTTTTGGTTTGAAATGTTTTCCCCCTAAATTGATGAACTAATTCTAAGGAGATAGGTGGAATAGCTATTTGGGGTCAAAAATTAAGCGTTTCCATCCTCTAATATTAAAGGTTTAGGGTTCTCATTGCATTATTTTAGAATATCCATTGTTAAATCGCTTAAGGAATACATTTAACAACTGGGATGACAAGGGCAAGAGAATATATTTTTGTGATTATCTGTTGTAACATAAGACTTACCGTTCCTACTCTGAAGGATTGTGGGGAGAAAGGGATTTTCCAGAAAAATGTGCAAAAATCTGTTCAATACCTTTTCAGTTACGCCTACAAAATATCACAGAAAGTAGGGTGAGTGTCATATCTATTAGGAATGCAATCTTTTTATGCTCTGGAACTTGTACATGGGAAAAATGAAAATTCCAAATATGCAGTTAGTCAGATAGTCCTAGCGAATGTAATAATGAATGTGTCAGCATTGGTGGCTGACAATTCTAGTAGCCTCCAGCATGCTGACATTTCATTATAGTGATTTTCAGAAATTATTTTTTAATGTCTTTCAATTATTTATGGTGTTTTTTTCTCTATTGCTGTGGCATTTTCATTGTTTGCCACATTCTTGATTTGGGCACCCAAACAGCATGGGGGAATGCAGATCCTAAGTCCACATCTGTGAGAGTCATGGGGAGTTGCTGCCTTTTTCAGTATAGGCATTATGGGCAATGCCTTAGTCATCGCTGCATTCAGTCAGGAAAAAGTCAAAGCAGTACTAAAAAAAAGTAGTAAGAAGCAAGTTCAAAATTGTTTCCCTGTGAAATATCCTAAGTTATGGTTCTGGTTTTGGCTGTATTTGTCCTTAAAGAAAAATCTGTGTTCTTTTGCCTCTCCCTCATCCTGACGGAATGTAGAAAACAGAAGACTGATTTGATTGATTGCTAATGTAATGAGTGATATGGATGAGAATGTAGAAAACAGAAGACTGCTTTAATTGATTGCTAATGTAATGAGTGATATGGATGCTGTGCCTTTTAAAGTCTGTTCAAACAATTTTTTTTTTGTTTCAGTGCATCAGGGATTAATCAGAATCTTCTCCAAGCCAATCACATTTTCAAAGGTAAAGTAACCATTTAAACATATTTATTTCATCTAGATTCGTAGAGTACACATCCCAATTCTTGAAGATCTAGCCCAGTAAACATGGAAAGACCCAAAGAAGCAAAAATACTACTGTCCATTTTGAATTGTGACTCAGTTGTTATTAGTCTCTGATTCCTACATCTGCTCAGTGTAATGAGGATGTGCTTCTTGTACTGAATGAAAAAAAAATGACAGGAAATAGATGTTTGCTCAGGTTGTCTATAACAAAATAGGTTATAATTGAGGTGATTCAGCTTTCTTCCAGGTTAACAAATTTTGGGCACTTTAAAAGTTTTACTGAATGTTTTTGTTAAGGGACAATTTTAAAACCTTTTAGTTCTGTGCAGCAGGATAACTGTAGAGTTTCTCAACTGACCACTAGAAGTAGAAGAGCTTTAGAGATTTTTGAAAAGAGTTGCTTGTTTTGTGCTCTTTTCAGATTGGTTAAATGAAAAAGCTAAACATTTCATGTTTCTACCTGCAGAAGTCATTTTACATTGTGTTGTAGCTTGGTCAGGTAGTTACATATTCAGTTGTATTGGGTCTGGCTGAGATGGAGTTAATTCTCCCCACATCAGCCCCCACAGAGCCGTGCTGTGTATCGGTACCAGCCAGGTGTTGGTAACAGCCCGGTGCTGTGGCTGCTGCTGAGCAGTGCTGGCACAGCACCCAGGCTGTCTCTCTCCAACATCCCCCCTCAGCAGCAGGCTGGGCCTGGGCAAGATCTTGGGAGGGGACACAGCCAGGACAGCTGACCCCAGCTGACCAAAGGGATGTTCCATACCATATGGCCATAAAAGCTAAGAGAAAGGAGGAGGAGGAAGGGGAGGCATTCATTATTTATGTTTGACTTCTGGAGCAACCTCTATGCATACTGAAGCCTTGCTTCCTGGGAAGTGGCTGGACATTACTTGCTGATGGGAATTTGAGAGTAAATCTTTTGGTTTTCCTTTGCTTCCATGCACAACCTTTGCTTTTGCTTTATTAAACTGCCTTTGTTTTGACCCATGAGTCTTTTCCATCTTATTTTCTCCCCTCCCTGTCCTGCTGAGGAGGGGAGTGATCGAGCAGCTTGGTGGGCACCTGGTGTCCAGCCAGGGTCAACCCACCTCAGCAGTGTTCCTGAAAAATATTGTGTCCTTTCAGGCTTTTTTTGGAAAAGAAACTTCTGAATCAGAAGAATCCAGTGAAGCTGAAGAGGTTGGGACAGGGAGATGGAAAGTACCAACCTATAAGGACTATCTGTATCTCTTCAGAAATCTACTGAACTGTGACACAATGAAGGTAAAAGCATAGTTAACATGGAAATACAAAAGGAAACATAATCCAAAGTCTTATTGCTGCTTTTCTAACCCTAGACTTTTTCCAAATGTCGTGCTGTAGAAGAACTGTTTCCTGGTTTTAGTTGGACTTTGTGGCTGATAGATAAAATAAATAGGGATGAATTTAGGCTTCCATAGCTGAGAAACATCTAAAGCAGGATTCTCTGTATCATTCAAATCTTGGTGTGTAAATTCAAGGAATAATTTTTATTGCCGTTTTGAAACGTGAACTTTTTTCCTCCTATAAAGGAATGTGTTTTTGAAGATGAAAACTTTCTTACTGCAAATTCATCACTGCAGTCCCTGAATCGCTTGCTATATGATGAACTTATTAAATCTATTTTGAAGATTATTGAGAAATTGGACCTCACTGTTCAGAAACTGGATGTTAATGAACAGGTGAGACCTGTTGACTTGTCTATTAATTCCTACTGTTGTAAAGGAACCAAGATCATGTTCTTTGTTTTGTTTTCATTATGCTTAGATAGCTGCTTGTAATGTCCTTGAAGTAGCATTCATACTAGACAATATGTTTTTATTTCATATTTCTGAATATTACATTGCAATCTAAGGAGATGGAAACATCGGAATCAGTAGAAGTTCACAGAATCTGTGATTTTAGACTCCCTACTCTGGCATCTAGTAGTTTTCATTTTCTACTTGCTTTCTCCTTAGAAGCAAGCATCCCTTATTATTTCTTTGAATTATTAATGTGTCAATTATTAGTCCTTTGTCTGTGTCAGACTAGCTAGTAGCAGCTAGGAAAAGAAGGAGAGACAGACTGTTTATCTGGAAAAAGGTGTAAATGCTTTCTGTGTTGTCACAGATCCAGTGTTCTTGCTTCAATATTTATTTTCAGGATGAAAATGAACCTGACAGTGCTTTGCTTGGGCCTTCTTCTGACCCTGCTTCAAACCTTCAGCCAACAAAGCCAACAGACTTTATTGCCTTTATAAATCTAGTGGAATTCTGCAGGTATTAATATGTTTTTATGTTTTATGTTTTTATTATGTTTTTGGAAGAAATTTGAAGTGACATTTATTGAAGATGCTCGTTTCTGACTTAGGATGGTATACCGTATTTCAAAATGTACAAGATGATTAGCAGGGAGACTGTCAGAGTGTTTCTGACAGCTGGTCATAGACAAAAACATGCTAGCTCATCAGCTCAGGTTTTTTTAAAGACTACAGGAGACAAGTCATTCACTTTGATTATTTGGGTGTAATTGTCTTTCGGTATATGTTGTAACTTTTAGTATTGTACTGACCATATATTCTAAATACTTCAGAGACCAGAAAGGCAGTCTTCATAATTGGGCATTAAGTGAAAGGTACAGCATTGTTTGCCTGTAGAGGTCCAGTTGATTTCCCTTAGCAATACTGCAGTATTGGTAATGAAATGTGATATGTGAGTATGTGTGTTTGTATAAATTCAATAATAAGATATAATGAGGAAGAAATGGCTTTGTACTGTAAAGCAAAATAAAAATCTTCCTTTGCTTGCCTCAGAAAGTGGCATGTAATTATTCCCTCTTTGGAGCTGCTCTGTTTTAGCAATACTTCTCTTGTACTGACTTGAAAGTTTGAAAAAAGAGAAACAAATATTTTATTCAGTTTCTTTTTTTTTTTTTTTCCTTTGTTTTCTCTGCATCTGTTTTAGAGAGATACTTCCAGAGAAGCATGTTGAATACTTTAACCCTTGGGTATATTCCTTTGGTTATGAGCTTATTATATATTCAACGAGACTACCTCTTATTAGTGGGTTCTACAAGCTGCTTTCTGTTACAATGAAAATTGCCAAGAAAATAAAATACTTTGAGGTGAGATCTGTTTTCCCAGTGGAGGGCTAACCTGTTGTACTAATGATGATGCTGTTCTTTATATATAGTCTTTTATGCGCTATGGAAATAGTTCATTGAAACTGTTACCCAGTTGTTTCAAATGTTTGTAGCATCCTCTGTAGTTACAAGCACATAGAAAATCAAAATTTAGACTACAAGCCCAGTTTCTGAAGAGACACCATCCTTGTGTAATGCTTTTCCAAAATCCTAGCTGGTTGAACAGAGGGATGGGAAATACTCTTGCAGTGCAAGCAGTATGGAAGATACCTTGGATATCAGAAACAATGTAGCCAGAACAGCAGAGACATTTATGGGTTAATTACTCAACTTCTGGGGTATACTTGTATTCCACTCATTTCCACAGGAAATGTGATGCTCTATTGGTGGACACACCGTTTGTGGTATGGAAGCTATTGTAAAATGATGGTGCTTCATCCCATTATGCATGTAGCCCACCACAGAGCCCAGAACTGTCCTTGCCACTGCTGGTGATGGCACCAGGTGAAGCAAATTTGGGAACTCACTGGTGTAGATGCTTGTACTGTAGATGCTGTTGTGAATTGCCCTTTTCTTCTTTCACCAGCATTCTTGCCACCTGGACATCCACTGTTAGGGATGTGTTTTTCTTTTGTGGTTTGTTAGATGGGCAGACAAGGAGAAAATTAAGCCATCGAAAAGTTATTTTTCAGTCATATGTATCTTGCTTATTTGGATAATTTTAAATGTATTCCAAAAAGTTGAGCCTCAGTGCGCTGTATTAATGTTAGCTTACAAGCTTTGAGAGAACAAACATACATTTTAAGTTTTCACTGATGCCAGTTTCATGTTGGACAGTGATGTATGTATTCTGAGTGGAACTTGTGCTTCATGTTTGTACTGTGTACTACATTTTTTAATACTGTTGACTTGTGGTTTCTGTTTGGTAGGGCGTCAGTCCAAGTAGTCTCAGAAAATGCCCTGAAGACCCAGAAAAGAGGTCTTGCTTTGCACTGTTTGTAAAGTTTGCAAAAGAGGTAAGTGATTTTTGCCGGCTACCTTTCTTAATCTGAATATAAACGTACATGACTCAATCAAAATTATATCCTCTGAGAAATCTTGCATATATGATAGAAGTATTCCAGCTCTTTGAATTATGCAAGATAGTGGGGGTTTAAGATATTTTCTGTGGTTTTTTTTTACTCAGTGTTAGAAGACGTGTATTGATCACCTATTCATGTACAGTTGAGAAGTAACTGTATAATTGTACGTTAAATACATTTTGTTAACTGCAGGTGAATGAGATTTCAGTATTATTTTTGAGTTCTTTATTTTACATGGATATTGATATAGCTAAATCAAGATCTTAAAAAGGTTTATGATTGTTCTTGTTCTATTTATCTGAATTTTAGGTTGCAGCAAAAATGAAACAGTATAAGGATGAATTGTTGGCATCCTGTCTGAATTTTTTGCTGTCTTTACCACATGACATCATCATGCTTGATATCAAAGCATATATTCCTGCACTGCAGGTGGGTCAGAGCGATGTACAGCTAACACTTGTTTCTTTTTCTGACACATACAAAAATTCTGGAGCAAAGTTAGTATATTGTTCAGCAGTTAAGATAACTATAAAGCTTTGTACTGTCTTCAGTGAGATAGAATACAAATTACTTCACTTTTTGGATAAACAAATTGTCAGAATTTGCTTTTGCACTAAGCTGACACTGTTAGTGGCTGTGTTGCAATATAGTACAGATCTTTCGTGTTTGTCTTGAGTGAGATGTTAAGCAGACAAAAGTTATTAAAAAGGAAGATGGATTGTATGCTAAATGCTTTCAAATATGGTAGATCTTTTTAATGTTTAAATAATAGTACTCAATAAAAATGAAAGAGTGATAGTTTTTACATTTGACATGTAGAATGCATTTAAGCTGGGCCTTAGCTGTACTCCAATGGCTGATCTGGGACTGGATGCTTTGGAAGACTGGTCAGCTCACATCCCCAGGCATATAATGCAACCTTACTACAAGGATATTCTGCCTCTTCTTGATGGTTATTTGAAAAACTCTACATCTACAGGTACATACAGGCAAAGAATTGTTAGTCTTGGGGGAGAGGAAAATAATTTTTTTCATAGTTAGGCCTAAAGATACGGGTGTGACATACTTTTTGACTATATTGTGCACTTCCTGTGATTGGAACGATATAACTTCTTTTTCTTTAACTAGGATTTATTTGCTACTGCCAAACTATCATTAGTTGTAGCCATTTTACGTGCCACTTCTCTGTGATTTGTACTTTGTGTCCTTAAATCAGCTTAGTTTTCAGTAATAGAGACTTATTTTCCTTAATAAAGACTTTAAATGAAAGAATAATTTTTGCATCTTAAAAATAAAAATGGGCAAAAGCAGCGTGGGTTTTTCTAAAGAAACTATGAGCAGGTGCATGGTACAATAAACTAATACTAATGTGCTGGTTTTTTGTTCATCAGTTGAATCCCAGAATAACTGGGAAGTAAGGAAACTTTCTCGAGCAGCCCAGAAGGGATTTAATAAAGTTGTGATACAGCGTTTAAGAAAAGCAAAGACTTTTTCATTGGTAAGAACACTGTTTCTTTTTAGAGTTAAATGTGAGTTAATCACTTCCCACTGTTTCTCTTCCTTTCTTGCAAGCATACTTTTTTTTTTTATTATTATTTCTACCTTGGATCAGTTCAATGAATCCCATTCTACACTGGGGCTCAAAAAGCTATTACATCAATACAGCTGAAAAGATGTCATATTCTAGGGTGAGAATGGGAATAAAGCAGGGAAAGGGAACTGAAGAAATCCTGTAGGTCAGCATCACTGCTAGACTGATATATTATGGAAACCAAAAGTTAACTCCTACACCTAAAATCAGGTGCCAGCTTAGTGGTGCAGTGTGCAAGTGGCTTCTCAAGTAGCTAAAAATAAGTGTAGGTTTATTTGTATATTCCAGTGGACAAACTAACTTGGAATAAACCTTTTTAGGTGTAAAACTAATAGTTACTTTTATATATATATACACACACCTCTTCCCAACCTAGTGATCTGTAAACAAAATGAGTAAATTTTTACATCTCACGTAGGCTGCTTACATAGAGATAAAGTTCTGGGATTAAAGCAGGTGAAGAGAGTAATTTTTACTTCAGATTTTTTTGCACTTTTTAGACTATTATGTCATTCTGTAGGTTATGTGTTATCTGTGATGATAAAATTTTAACTTGATTTGAGAAGTGGCAATTGAAAGCCCACAAAGTGTGATGGAAATGCTTTCCAGTCTTGCACTCTTTTGCTTATTGAACCAAAACTGTTCTCTTGTTTGATGCAGTGGTTCTCCCCATAGGTTCTTCATTTTACCTTCTTCATCCATGTTAGTAAGAGCCATAAAACCTTCATTTACTATGTAAACCAAGGTACTTCTATATAGAAGTAACTTTTCCTTCACTGATATGAATCTGTTGAATTATTTAGGATGAGAGTCCCTCCTTGGAAGCAGTAAGGATTAGAGTGGCACGCCTTCTTGGATCTTTGGGAGGACAGGTCAACCACAACTTAATTACAGGTGAGTGTACTGTCAGTGTAAATAAAAATATTTACATGCCTCTGCTGTCTTACTTGGAAGTAGATTTCAGTGAAGTCTCAACATCACTTTATGAGAATGCATGAGCTTTTCAAGGAAAGCTATTTTTTGTTGCTCTTGTTTAAACAAAATTGCTTTTATTCAGTTCTGGAGTTTAGGAGGGCAAAGTATTCACTAACTTACTATGAAATGCAGAAAGTGTGCGGAAAAAAAACCCCAACCAAACTTCAGTTAAAGGCAAAAATTTATATGTATCTGAATATATATTTTTATTTGTTTCCCCTCCCCATCCCTTTCACCCTCTGGCTGCAAAGCCATTTTAAAGCTTTGCCCCAGTTTGTAACTCTTTAGTACTTGTTTCCACATTTTTACTACAATTCTCGCTTAATACAGTTTTTTAGAACTGCAGCCTGTGAATTGTGTAAGTCTCAGCAAGCTTACTTTTTCACTTTTGAGTTTAAACTGCACCATGCCTTTAGTATGTCCAGGTAGTAGAGCTCCATTTGAGTGTTTTCTGCTCTTTTCTGTTCAGCCTGTGAATAAGCTTTATAATTTAATTATTAAATATCATAACATCTAATTAAAACAAAAATGGAAAAGTGTAGTGTAAGTACCTGACCATGAGATTTAAGGGATAAATTCAGTGCAAAATTTAGTCAGTCTAAAAACTAATGTAGTTGTATAGAAGTTCTATTCCTTTCTTTTCATGCTTACGTTTGTTTTTTCTGCCTTCACAATCAATTTGCTTTCTGCCAAGTACTTCTCTGTTGCTTATTCAGAAATACTGGGGGAAAGTACCATTATTCCCTGGAAATTAAATACAAAGTGTGGTCAAACTTTGTTAACCAAGTTAACAAACGTATGGGAATATAGGGAGAGAAGGGAGTAAGTATGGCAGTTTTCTTTGGAGGACATAGCCATAAATGTAGTTGTTTTTGGTGCAACTGCAGGAGTATGTATGTTGGATCTTCCTGTCTGATCTGATCTTCAAGAATTTTTATAACAGTAGAAAACAAAAGTAGTATGTTGGATGTCTTGAGGAAGTATTTTAAATCATGTGGTTCAACATCTTCTGGGTTTATAAATGTCTCCAAACTTACCTGTATTGAAACTGGAGGCTCCTGTGACTGTCTCCTGAAATGTTGGCTGCAATTAATTTTTCCATGTGGTCGCTAAACATCTTTTTGGATGTGCAAGTAAAACTGACATTCTGACATACTTCTGGTGCTTGTAACATCCAGTAATTTATAAAGCATTAACATCATATGACAATCTAACTGAAGTTGGAAGGTTACAGATTTTTTTGTCTGAGCTACGGAAATACTTGCTCTCTATATATTATATAAAACTTATTTTTTGTTTTGATCTTTTTCAAATGCATTAGCTAACTCTGCAGAAGAGATGATGAAGAAATGCGTATCCTGGGACACTGAGAAGCGTCTGAGCTTTGCTGTACCATTTGCAGATATGAAGCCTGTCATCTACTTGGATGTATTCTTGCCTCGTGTGACTGAACTGGCTCTTTCTGCAAGTGACAGGCAAACAAAAGTATTGTTTTTTCTGCATCTTTTTTTTATGCTAGCTGATAAATACTGCATAAAATAATGTCTGTCTTGTTAAGAAAGACCTGGTTTAATTCATTCATAGGTAGCAGTGTGCTGCTTTGATGCTCTTTCATGATGGCATTATTCCAAGTGTTTAAAGAGCAGTAGTTGCTATAAGGTCTACCAGACAGCATTGTGCTTTGAAAGTTAGACTTAACATAAAAATGAAAATGTTAAACTAGTTGATCTTCAGTGTTGTTTGGCCTCCTTCTCATGCCTAGCCTATGAACTTGTGGGCCACATCCAGCAGAGCACTTAAGCAAATATTTTGCTGCTTTGCTGGTTTGGGATGTTGATATCCAAAGAGAGTCCAGAACGGAGGTATGCCTGAAAACACAATGATAGGTGACTTACCCAGTGATGAATTTTCTTCAGCTGAAAAGCAACTGCTCATAATAAAGACTAAAACATCAGGAGAAGGGCCAGCTAGAATGTGTGTAAATTAGTTCCATGAACTTGATGGAATGGTGATTTAACATAGATCGGAGTGATTTCTCGAGTACATCCATTCTTGTGACTCATTCTCTCCTGCTCACAATTTTGTCTTCTCTGTGAAAGTAACAAATGCATAACCAAAGGGATTTTTAAATTTCAGGTTGCAGCTTGTGAGCTGCTGCATAGCATAGTCACATATATGTTGGGGAAAGCATCTCAGATGCCAGAAGGACGTCAGGGTCCCCCACCCTTGTATCAGCTACATAAGCGAGTATTTCCAGTACTACTTCGTCTTGCTTGTGATGTAGACCAGGTAAACAGATTCTAAGCTGTTTTAGAATTCTAATTCTAAAAATTATAAGCATTTTATCTTGTTTAAAATAGCTCTAAATATAGGAATTAATTTTATTTAGAAGTTGTCCTGTTAGAAGTTATCCAGACACATTGCCTCTTTTTCTTTAAGACTTCAATAATGGACTGTAATTCAGAGTAACTCAGAGGAGTGTACAAATACATAAGAGTTTCAAGGCTCATTCAGATAGTTTGTGGTAGTAGCTGCTTTTTTATTGGTGTACTTAATTTCTATTTTTTTTTCTTTTTCTGTAATAAGTTAATTCGAGGTGAAGTTGATTATTTCAATATTGAATGAGTGCAAAGCTGCAGTCCACAGGAAAAGCATTTGGGAGAGAATTTGTAGCTGCATCTTTGATAGCTAAGGATGATACATTTAATTCAAACATCTGAACTTGGTATTTCTCCTCCTTTACACAAAACAGAATAGACACATAGGTTCAGCTCCACTGAAATTACAGGTCTTGTGCCTTTTCAGACTGCTGTTTGGACCCTGGCATCCACGTTCTATTTTTAGACCGAAGGGACTTGTGTTCCATTAAAACATACGGGAAATTGTGTTACCAATTTAGGTGAAACCCCTTTTGCTGGCATATGGCTGAACATAAACCATAGGTAAATAATGGCTGGATTTGTCCAAACCAATGCACACAGGCATACACACTGTATTATAACCATGTATGTATGCATATATAAGTATATTAAATGGTTCTTCCCTTCTTGTTATAGTATGACAGTATTCAATCAGGTTGACTTACAGGTAGAATTGTTGAAATCCAGAAAGACAGAATATGGTAAAGATTAAGAGAGAGTTTAGATCAAAATACAACTTGAAAACAAACTTCCCTGTTTCTCTGGCTGTACATTGGCATATCAGTCCGTGGCATGCAACGTTCTTTGTCTCAGAGGATCTTACTGAAAGTAAGCTTGGAGATCTTTTGAGGCTAGTTGAATAGAAAGCAGCTAACCAGTTTTTTGTTATGTTTTTTTTTTTAATCCTTGATATGGCAATGTTTTATGAAGCTGATTATTCATTTTATAGACTTTTTTTCAAAGTAGTACTGTTTTCTGTTCTTACGTATTTTGAATAGCAGAAGAGCATAGAAATATAGTAATCCTAGAAATACAGTTGACATTTACTCTTTTCAGGTAACAAGACAATTGTACGAGCCTTTAGTCATGCAACTCATTCACTGGTTTACCAACAACAAAAAATTTGAGAGTCAAGATACAGTGGCGTTCCTGGAAGCTATCTTGGTAGGTTCATAAGTCTTTATTCTCTTTTCTCTGTGCCATGTGACTTTATTTTTAACTAGGATCATTTTACTACCAAAAGAACCAGGAACATACCAACAGATATAATGGCTCTTTATTTGTCTGAAAGAAGGAAAACAATTTATCAATTTATTTGGGTTTTTTAATGACCATTTATTGTTTCTAACTGAGATTTTGATGATGGATTTCTCTATCTCTTTGGCATTCTCAAAATGCAGGTGTAGCACCCTTAGAGTCTTTATAAGATTAATGCAACACTCATTTTATCATCAGTGTATACAAGGAACTACTGAAATACATTCATGCCCCAAAATGAAAGTTGCTTTTGATGTGTGCTTAATATTTCTCTAAGTTTCTTTTCTTTCACCAGGTGCAAAAGCTTTTAATTTAAAACTGACTTTTGCACTGAGCAGACGTGGTAGCAAGGTAGGTCAGGAGGTTTTGCAGTACTTTTTGTAAATGAAAGTCAGTGTTGTCACACCACTTCTAAAGCAGAGAAAGTGGTCCATCAGAAAATGAAGTGGCTTGGACAAGATTCCTAAACTGGTAGCTGAGACAGGAATAGAAATCTGGATCTTTGAGGCCTAATCCAGTGCTGTGAGGGCTGGAAATGCTGCCCTTTCCTTGGAGAGTAGTAATTTTGAAGCTTTGTTATTTCTGGGAAACTGTGAGTACAGTTTTTTAACTTACAAATAATATTGTGTAAATAAGCTGCCCTAATACTGTGTGAGACAACAGTGGGGTTTTTTTTTCACTCTTGTAACAAAATAATCTTGTGTAATTTCAGAGTGGCATAGTGGATCCAGTGGACAGCACTTTGAGAGATTTCTGTGGTCAGTGCATACGAGAATTTTTGAAATGGTCTATTAAGCAGACAACACCGAGACAGCAGGAGAAAAGCCCAGCAAACACCAAGTCGGTGTTTAAACGGTTGTATAGTCTTGCTCTTCATCCCAGTGCTTTCAAGAGACTGGGTGCAGCACTTGCCTTTAACAGCATCTACAGAGAATTTAGGTGAGCGAACAGAGCTTAAAACAGTAACTAGCTTTGGACTGAAGGTTCAAGGAGATATAGAGAATTAAGTGTAGAACTCAAACAGTCATCCACTGATACTCGTTCTATTAATGTAGATGATAGCTGTAAAATTGAGTTACTCTGCTTATGCATTTTTAATTTAATGATTTTGTAGTTTGGGCTTTCTGCAAATGGGGAGTGTATAAATTGAAATTTCTATCACAAGTTTATGGGAAGTTATTTATGCCTTTTAAAGGTGGTCAGCAAGTTACACTGCTTTTTTTTAGAGTAGTTTAGATGTATTTTTGTGCAAACATGTTGTGCAGTTTATCTCTATTTTAATTTGGTTTTTAATTAGAATTTCACACTTAGTGCTTCTTCCACTCATGTTTCTCATCAAATTTATTCCTGATTTTTAAAGGGAAGAAAATTCTCTGGTGGAGCAGTTTGTTTTTGAAGCATTGGTTGTATTTCTGGAAAGTCTGGCCTTAACCCATACAGATGAGAAAACATTAGGTGAGTTATAATTAATTAACTATGGAATAAAGAAAAAAGCCATCCTGTTGAATCTTGGATTAAAAAAGAAAAACTACTATAACTGTAGGAGAAATAAATGTGCTTACTTTTGCAACAGAGGAAGGATTATTTTTCATTAGTGGTAGAGAGATCATTTTATATCTAGTTAGGAACTCTTTGAATCATCTCCTTGCAACATACAAAGGTGGTAGATTTTGAGCCCAGGAGAAAGAACCTTTTCACATTTACAATGATTTACAGTTTCATAGTAACACTAGAAATGCTGGTGGTGCTTCTGATTTGAGTCCTGGTTTTGCAGTTACAGTGTAAAAATGTAGCTTGATATGAGAATCTTGAAGTCTGCTCTTCTATAACAAACAAAATGGTCCAAAAATTGACATTTCTATATATTCTGTGGAAGATTTCCACCATTTTGTAGTACCCTTTCCTGGTTGCCTTGTCATTTTTCTCTACAACAGTAAGTAGCTGTGTGAAGAATCTAGGACCTCTTTCACAGTACTAATGATTCTTCACTAAACCTGCTTTTCTCCCACTGTTTTTTTAATGCTATGACTTTCATCAATTAATAGTAGTTAGAACATAAAACCAAAAACTGATGTTACAAAGCTTTATTTCTTTCAGAGAAACAGTTCAGGGTATGATAGAAGTGGCCTCAGAAGAAATACTCATACGAGAAAATGTTACAGTTTCTTTAAGCATGATTGCAGAAAGTAGAACACACAGTTTTATAGCAGAGGCCTCATGCTTGGCTAAGGCCATGTTGACCTGTCTGCTTTTTTATGGTTTTGTTCTCCTTCCTTGAAAAATTTACTGTAGAAGCACAGATTAGCGGAGCTGGTAGACATTATCCTGTGTATAAGTCTCTTGCACCATTTCTATAGTGCTAATACCTCGATTAATTTAACCAAGTTACTAGCATTTATTTATAGATGTCAGTTGTCCCTTTCTGACAGGTACCACTCAACAATGTTGTGATACTATTAATCACCTGAAGCGCATAATCAAGCATAAAGCACCTTCTCTGAACAAGGAAGGAAAACGACGAATACCACGGTCAGCAATTTGCCTTTTTTTTTTTTGCTTTTTTAATACTGCATTTTAATTAACAACATATGTAGTTCCATTAAACACTTGGGATTCTGAACGAGAAATTCATCTTGTAATTGTTGCTGATGCAGTTCCCTGATATGTCTGTTGAACCACTGGTGGGAAATGCTGGATGTGATACTAGAGGATCATGATGGTCATTCATTATTCCAGCGTGGTGAGCTTGCTTCAGTTTGGCAGGGATAGGCAGAAAAGCGAAGTTTATTTCCCTCACACCAGCGTTTATAACAACGTTAGCGCTGGTGCTACAAAGCACTTGGAGAAAACTCCTCCAAAGTCTTTCTTATTGCTGTTAAGCATTAGCAGAAGTAGGACAAGCTTCAATAGGATGATCAGCAGATAAGGAGGGGTAGTGAAAAAGGTAGAAGAACTGAGAATGGTTTCATCAGGCTAGATGAAGCTCTGAGTCACCTGGTCTGATTGCATAGCTGACCCTGCTTTGAGCAGGAGATTGGACTGGAGACCTCCTGAGGTCCATTTTTACCTGAATTGTGTGATCCTAAAGAAACAGGCAAGTGGAGTCTGAGAGTTAACTCATTGGTATGGCATTTGGTAAGTTAGGAGACTAGATAATTAGGGATGGGGAAAAACTGTGTTGGCTTGTTTAAGCTTTAATTTCCATGTTTGTCTCTTTGAGTGTTTGAGAAGAGACCTAATTCTACTTTTAAAATTGTGGCCGCAAAGACTATGCTCTGAAGATCCAAAGTAGAGTGAGGAGAAGGGAATGCAGTGCAAGAAGTGCCTGTAGAAGAGCTCTTCCTTGTAGTGCAGATGGGTTGTGGTTAGGTGAATAAAAGTACATTCATAATGCTCATGGAATATTTTGGTTTTTTCAACTGGAAGACTATGGCTTCTTGGTAGATGTCACGAGGACTGTTAATCCTTAATCTTTTTGCGCAGAGGATTTCCAGCTACTAAGTCAATGTGTCTTCTGGACCTTGTCATGTGGCTGTTAGCACAATGTGGACGACCTCAGACAGAGTGCCGACACAAAGCCATGGAGCTCTTCTATGAATTTGTTCCTTTATTACCAGGTATTTTAAGTCACAATGCACTATTATATTTGCTTTCTAAATACTGTGCACACCTTCCCTCTATGTTTTCTATGCAAAGTATTAATTGCAAGAAAATTTATTTTTTAAGTAAATGTCTGTTCGCTCAGTGCTGTTAAAGAGAAACTGAGTAGTTGCTCTTATTGGAAATTAAGTATTGTGAGAAACTCAGGGTTTGTGGGCATAGAAGAGGGATTTACTGTGAACTTCCTTCCAGTCAGGAAGGAGAACTTACAGGCCTAGAACAGCTATGAAGGCAGTATTTGCTGACTGGTAACTAGTGGGAGCGTCTCACAAATTGGCCTCTTCCTTGTGGGTAATTTAAGTAGCATGACCAAGGCTAAACCAGAACCAATACTTTCTCTGCTAGAAGATCCAGTTTAAAACACAAAGTTTGGGCATGTCAGTCCATTGGCCTCTAATTCCTTGCTAGTTTGAAATGTGTTTTTCCTAGAGAATTTATATTTCTGGTTTCATTTCTATCAGGAAACAAGTCTCCATCTTCTTGGCTGGCTGATGTTCTAAAAAACCAAGATATTTCTTTCCTCATTAACAAATTTGAAGGAGGTGGCAGCGATGCCAAAAGTCCATCTGGGATCCTTTCTCAGCCAACTCTCCATGGTATGCAGGAGCCCTTCAGTTTACAGACTGTCATGCGGTGGATGGATATGTTCTTAGCAGCACTGGACTGCTACAATACATTCTTTGAGCTGCGAATGATCAAACCTCATGAAATACTAGGTGAGTGATTAACTGTTGCATTAGGTTCATTCATGTCTGTTATGCAAAGCCCATCCGAGATGCGTTCCTAACTTGGACTTTAAGCTTTTTTCTTAAATGTAGAATTGATGAATTTTACAAACTCTCCCAAAGGTTGCAGTGACAGTTGTACTGGATGTTTTTTCATGAAGTACTACTTTATTAATAGTGTATCTTGATATGTTTCCTTTTAGTCCTAGAAATATACCTTTGCATTTCTGTCTGTCATCCACTCACCAGCAACTTCTTTTACTCTATGTCACTTCAGAAATTATTCTGTATAGCTAATTTCCCTCTGGTGAGGAGAGCTATAGATTTTTTAAATTTTTTTTTTAATCCTTCAAAGCTGTTTACCTGCTTTTTATTAATGTCTGGAGGGAGCTATCAGAAAGCAATGAAAAAAGTCCCCTTTTCACATCAGCCCTGTACATGTGTCCTGGACTGCCCCCAGTTCCATCCCACTTTGGTGGGGGAGGACTGTGAGTGAACATCTGTGTGGTAGTTTTAGCTGCCAGCCAGGTTAAACCACGACAACATGTTACCTTTCTTCAGTTCCTGATGATTCAATTTCATCAGGTCCCAAAGCCTTGTATGTGAATTTTGATCAGATGTATAGTAATACCTTGTGTAGCCATTGGGTCTCTCAAAAAGTTTTTCTTTTAATTATTCATGCAGGTCTAAACAAAATGCTTTTTCTCACTGATAGTACTTCATATGTAGTTACTTCAGTCTTGTACAAGTTCTAGGTAGTCTGTCTGTCAGTGTCATCTCTGTCTTGGTTTAAAACAATACTGTAAGATCATTGTTGGATGCAGTTAGCATAGGGCTAAATTATTCAGAACTAGGGATTTAAATTTTTTATCCTTTTTATTACACATGCCTAAATCGTCATCATTAATAAGTGCTTGTAATGTTTAGTAAATAGAAAGCTACCCTTAACTGCTCGGAATGTTAATATTTGGAACTGGCATAGGACTTTCAGAAAGTGTGTTACCGGTGTGAGATGTGGTGACTTTCTCAGTTCGACTGTTTTCTTCCAAGCACAAAATAATATATTTAAAAGTTGAGAGCTGCTGTATCATTTCAACTTAGTTTGGTTCTTCTTAGGTGTAAATGAAAGATCCTCATTCTTGGAAGCTGTGCAGTTCTTCCTTGAAACTATTGCTTTACATGATATCCACGCAGCAGAGCAGTGCTTTGATTGCAGTTCAAAAGGCAGCATGTTCAGTCCACAAGAGAGAGATCTGTATAATTACAGCAAGTGTACAATTATAGTCCGAATCATGGAGTTTGTCACCATGATTCTGGAAACGTGCCAGCAGGATTTCTGGAAGGTAAGCACTGAAATCTGTAGTGGATAAAAGACACTAACTTTATATGTAGTTAAAGGTTTGTGTTTTCATTGTGAGGTTATTTTGCTGGAGAATATCATCTTTAGTGGTGCTTTAATTGAAATTAATGACTAAGTGTCATAAACTGTTACAGTCTTCACATGTAACTGAAAAGAATTATATTGCACAGTTGAATTTTAGTGGTTGATGTCATTTTGATTAGAGGAGTTAATAGTTCTTGTATATTCCACTTGTATATTGACTATGAGATTGTTATTCTATATGGAGTACTTGCAGTAGCTGTTTCCTGCATGACTCCTTATGGCCTTATATGTGTGGAGGTGACAGCTGCTTAAAATGCAGGAAGGCAGATTGTGGCAATTCTTTCTTGAATTAAGTATAAATATTCAAGTCTCTCCATTTGCCTAGCTTTGGTCACTATAAACTGTATTTAACTATATATAGTACCTGTGATTCTGTTACGGAGTTTACACCACCAGGTTTAGTTCTGAGACTGTCACTGTCTCTTGTTTCAAGTTAATTTCTAATAGTGTGCACAGAGGTGTACATCTGGATTTCAAGGTGATTACAGGTGTATAATCAAGACTGACACAGGCCCATGTGGACATAAAAGATCTTATGTGTGGTTTGATGAGATAGCATCTATCTTATATATTTTTATAGACTTAATTTCTGTATATTAGCACAATTGATTGACAACCAGACATTTCATAGAGAAAGAGAATGTCACTTAGTGAGAATAGTTACTGTTCCATGTTTTGTTTCATTTTAGATACAAGGACTAATGATAAGTTATGAAGAATAAAATAGGGAAATCTAAGTGGATTTTTAAATAAAGCTTTTATTTAATGTTTTATTCTTTCTAGCTACTTGAGAAGGAATTGCTTAATGCAAGCTTTATAGAGCTTCTGGTGATGACAGTGTGTGATCCATCACACGTAGGCTTTAACACTGCTGACGTGCAAGTCATGAAAAATCTCCCAGATATCTCAGTAAGACTCATGAAAGCTTTGATGAAATCTCCCTATAAAGAATCTTTGACACTGTGCATAAAAAAGAGAATCACGCCACAGAAGTAAGTAGAGGCTTTCTGGTAAGCATGAATCCAGAACAAAAGCCACTACTATGAGGAATGGAAAGTAAATAACATTGTATACAGTTGCACGTGGAGCTTCCCACCAATGTAATGCTATTGCTTTTCTTTTCTCATTAGCCTCGAGGACCTTTGTTCTGTTGATCTGTTTAATTCAGATGCACGTTTTGATCAAGTTAGGCTTAGTGCTGTCCTTTCTGCCTGCAAGCAACTCCAGAAATCTGGCCTGCTTCATTCTGTTCTTCACAATCAGGTAACTGTTTATCTAGAAAATAATAGTGAATATTTTTTATACAGAGCTTTTGATCTGTTAAAGGCCAGTATGAAAACAGAACAGATCAGATGAAGTTGTGTAAAATAAGACCAACAGTGAAAAGCTGGTGTGAATAGGATCAGAAATAATTTTTTTATGTTTATTCTACAAATCTGAGTAGCGCAATACTGAGGTTTGAATGATCTTCATAATTACGTCTGTCTCCAATTTCCAGGGCCTGGAGGCAACCAGAATCTACCTAAAACTTCCTTTTAGTGAGCTTCTCAAGACTGAAAGCTCAAAAAAATCAGGATTTACTATCCTATAAAAGAGGCATTTTTCAATAGTTTTTAAACAGAATAAAGTCATGAGGGAAATTAGAAAAGGATTACATTCTGGCTGGTCAGAAGCAATATAGTGGGTCTGAGTTGCAGGAAAACAGGATGGAGAGCAGTTGGGGGTGGGCATCTAGGATATATTACACAAAAGAATGCTTTCTACTAAGCTTCTGATTGTAGTCAATCTATTTTACTTTGGGCAATTGAAGGAAAACAGGCTATGCAACAGCCACAAGGACTGAGAGAATTTGTCTACTGGTGAGCAAGGGTATACTTGGCAAGTAACAAATTATTTAATTTCTATGGGGTGTTTGCAATAGATCCTCTACACCTGAACAAAAGCTAGAGCTGTGATTGTAGGATGGTGATATTCAAGGAGCTGCATGGTTTACCTTTCATGGCCCACCCATTCTGACTAAGCTGTTATGTTTATTTCTGTAGTAGTCTTGTTATCCAAAAAAAATAAGGAGGAGGATCAGAATCTTCTGAAGATTTTTCAAATGACTATTAGTTTGTTCTGAACTTTGCACACAACAGGGTTGTCTGGTTAAAATTCTTGTTCCTCAGTTAGAAAGGTATCTTGTCATGGTATTTGCATTGCTTTATAAGAAAATGAACTAGAGTTTGAGTGTTTTCATCAGCTATACAGATGGATTGGAAGGACTTTGTTTTATTTTTTCAGCTTATATTAATTGTCACTTGTTTGTTTATTCCTGTAGGATGAAAGGCCTCATTTCTCGGTTGGCTCTAAACTCCTTTCAGTTGTTTATAAAGGTATTGCACCTGGGGGTGAAAGGATATCTCTTCCATCGTTGGACATCAGCAGTAAGCAATTAGCTGATAGACTCCTGCAGCTAGCATTTGCTATTGATGACCAGGTAGGATACAGTTCTGCAGTTTTAATAATGAATCATCATTTAATACTCATCATCAATAGTCTACCCATATTTTGCATAGATGAGGCTGATGTTTTATTCATAATCCTACAGAGGAACTGTAAGGATTCTTTGGCTTAATTGAGCGACAGTTGTAGATAACAAACATTTCAGTATTCTGTTTGTGCTTTATTTTTGTGCTTTCTGGTAACATAAAAGAGGTTGGGATGGAAGCTTTAAAAAAACTCATATGCTGCTGTAAGAAATGAGTGAAACTTCATGTGCTTGAGATGACTGTCTACCTTAATTTTCACAGTGTGAGGAGCTAGTAAGTCTGCTGTTGAACACAGTGGTGTTATCTGTGCCAATATCAGGAGCATCACAGAAGAACCTGATCAACTTCTGTCATGGACAGTATTTCTACAGCCTGTTCTCAGAAACCATCAATCAACAGCTGCTGAAAAACCTGGATGTGATCATAGTCCAGCTTATGGAATCATCTGTCAGCAATCCCCAAATGGTATTATATGACTTCTTTAAAAGGATGAAGTCAAATGGGAACGTTAGAAGTAACACTTTTTTTGTTATAGGTGGATGTAACTGAGTGTGTAGTGGGGGAAAAAGTGCATTTGGTTGCACTTCAGACAACATTACACTGATAGTTCATTGGTTTTTTGTTTGGGTTTTTTTTTGTTGTCATGGCCCACTGGTGCCTACGGGCGCTGCCTTCGTGATGTCTGCCAACCTGACATAACTTAGGGTGTCTGTCATGTAGTGGGGAAAAAGTGCATTTGGTTGCACTTCAGTACACTGATAGTTCATTGTTTTTTTGTTTGGGTTTTTTTTTGTTGTCATGGCCTACTGGTGCCTACGGGCGCTGCCTTCGTGATGTCTGGCAACCTGACATAACTTAGGGTGTCTGTCATCTCATGTCAAACTGACTGGAAAGTGTTTACCTGTTACCTATCCTGAAATCTATGAATGTCAGGATTTTTTTTTTGCATAGTACTTCAAATAAGAATATCCTTTCAAAGCAAGTCTGATTGTTCCCATTTATTGTGCCTTGATTTTCATTGTAGAGTGAGTGGTCCCAGAACACGTGGTCTGGATTTGTTTTGGATAAGACTGAACTGGAAGATTAACTCCAACCACTAATGGGCTTTTAGTCCACAGGACTAGAGTGGAGCTAAATCGAAATATTAAAAGGAGAGATGAACACATACACAACTCCCCTGTGATCTGAAATAAATACAGGGTAGATGCCATGTACTCAGTCTCAGCACCACTTGTTTTGCTCAACAGATTTTCTCCTTTTGGTCCACACTACTTAGTAACGTAGATCTCACCTTCAGGTCCACGAAGGAAGCGTGTTAGAATTAAGAAGCCTTCTTTTATTGCTTCTGACAAACAGAAGGATCAAAAAGAAAGATCAAAAGGCCACTTTACCTTTTGCTTGAAAAGATGCTTAGGAAAATAGATCATCCTGTCAAAAATAATTGGATCTTTTTTTAATCCAAGATGTTATGCTTAAAGGTGTTACTTCCAAGTAACATTTTAAAACACTGGGAGTGTAATTTTTTGTGATACCAGAAATTGTTTAATTGGATTGTAGAGAGATGTATACGTGTTTTAAAAGGCTGGTTCTTTGTGGCTAGACAGTGTAAATTAGTAGCTTATCATTTATCAGAGACACTTTTAGAAGTAAATCTATTGTGACATGCTCTGCACAGGGAACACTATGAAGCCACTAATTTACACTGTCTACGTGTGGCAATAGTGTTAAAAGTCTTTACTTCATTAACGTAATTAAGGTAAATAGCGTAATTGGGTCAAACAAACACTTTTCTGTTGTCTGCTGTTGTTTTTTGCCTGACTTAAAATGTAATCCATAATATATGTTTTATAAGATATCTGTTCTTTAGTTTTATGCATTTGTGACGTACAGGAAGAAAAAATAAGGTTTATTTTACTGTACCCATCCAAATCGGGTGAAATCACAAGATAGATAACGTTAATCCAGTTTATTAAGTGGTTGCCAACTATTCAAGAGGAGAATGCAGAATTCAGGTTTGGAAGTCAGCGATCATTGGTTTTTGAAGAAAAGAGATTGGCATATACTTAGTTCCTATCTGGTATGCCATGGTTTATTTTTCTTTTCAAAATGTATGCAAATACGTTAGCATATGTGTTATTTCTCCTATTTCTCAGCTTCACACTAACTGAAATTTTCAAGTATTGATCTTTAGAGTTATTCAGGATTATCATGTATTTCTCCATATTCACACAAAAGGTATGGGAAGGAATTGTACTCTGAATGAAACAGGAGTAAATTGGGTAGAAATCTCTTTTTTGAAAAGTGTGTGCTTTTAATTTCCTGCAGAGAGACTCCTCCTATATCCTTCTGAGATTTAAATCTAGCATTGCTATCTGAATTCAGTGAAGTGATCCTGTCATCCTTTCATTTGGGATACAAGAATCTACCTGTTGCTTTCCCTTCCAGGTTGGCAGCATTTTGAACGGCATGTTAGATCAGAGTTTTAGGGAGCGTACTGTACACAAGCAGCAAGGAGTGAAACTGGTCACAGCTGTACTAAGAAACTGGGAGAAACTGGACAGCTGGTGGGCCAAAGGTTCAGCTCCTGAAAGCAAAATGGCAGTCTTGACCTTGCTGGCAAAAGTTCTGCAGGTATGTGTTGCTTTATAAAATCCACGTAACTTTTCTAATTCTGTAGGAACTGTATCTTGTTTTAAAGAAATCCTATTCGATTCTGATGTTTTATGTTTGGAAAGAAAAGACAAAAGTTGGAGAATATCAGAATCTGATTATTTTTATTTGCAAAGTACAAAAATACTTAGGCAGAAATTATCAGATTTTGCTCTTCTGCTCCCTGCCTGCCTCTCTGCTCCTCCCCCCCCCCCCCC